TTTTTTTAAACCAATTATTAACTTTTATAGATGCATTTCAATTTCAAACTTTTCCAAAAAGTCAGTACTTTGTTGAAAAAATTATCGCACAATCCAAATCGATTCTCAAATATATAGTGTGCTTGCATTGTCATTCTCTTTACTCACCTGCAGAATTGCATTTGAAAACTTCAGAATATACAAAATGTCCTATATGTTAAAGAGTCTTAACAAAAGCTATTAGAGGATCATGTGAAAAACTCAAATATACAGTTAAGTTGTTTTAATTTGATATTTTTATAGTAATGAAAAGAATTAACATAACATTTACTTTAAATTAGCCACAAACAATTTATCCTTACCAATCTATTATTACACAATTAGCATCAATATTAGCAGATGAATCACATGAAAGGTTAATGGATTCACCATTTAAGCGACAAATTAAGAAAGGTGTATTAGGTAATATTTACAACGGAAAAGTTTGGCAGGAATTTTTAGATGAGCAAGGGCAACCATTTTTTGTAGAGGATAAAACTGATTTTCAAATTGGATTAGCTCTCAATCTTGATTGGTATACGCCTTATAGTCGAGTCAAAAGAAGCTGTGCACCAATATATATAACAATTCTCAATTTTTCAAGACATATCAGATATCGAAGTGAAAATCTTATTCTCGCTAGCATTATACCCGGACCAAAAGAACCAGACACAAGCCAATTACAAAATTATCTTCAACTTATAATCAATGAACTAAAACAACTTTGGAGTGGACAATTATTTAAAACTACTCTATATCCAATTGGACATATGTTTCGTTGTGCATTAATTCAAATTGCATGTGATATACCAGCTGCACGTAAGGTACACTGTATATTATATTGAGCTTGCTTCTTGTTTATTAATTACAAGTGTATAACTCATTAATTATTTATATAATTAGGTTACAGGACTAGCTTTGCATTCCTCAAAACATGCATGCAGCAAATATGTTTTTCAGGATCTTCCAAACTTGATTACTCTAATTATATTCAGGATGATCCTTCATTGACTAATGCTGAACATCGACGAATAGCATTTCAATATAAAATTAGTGATTCAGCAACACAGAAAAAATTATTTCACCAATATGGAATTTGATAGACTTGTCTTTTAGAATTGCCATATATTGATATACCCTGATTTACTATAATTGATCCTATGCATAACATATTTTTAGGTACAAGTAAACGTATAGTACAATATGCATGGATAAATGAGGATTCACCAAAACTTAGTATTAAAAATTTATATAAAATTCAAAATTTAATTGATGCAACTCTTTTACCAGTTAATATGGGATGTGTAAACTTTAAAATTACATCAGGTTTTGATGCACTTATAGCAGATCAATGGAAGACATGGATTTTGATTCAACTTACGTTTTGCACAAATTTCTTGATAAAGCTGATCAATGATATTGGCAAGCATTTGTTACTGCAGTGTCAATATGGAGCCAAAAAATTATAACCGAAGCTGAAATTGAAGTTGATTATATAGCTATGATGGCATTCTTACAGTATGTTGAACAAATTTATGGTAAACATTTTTGTTCCCCTAATATACACTTGCACAAACATTTACAGAAATGTATGCTTGATTATGGACCATGGTATTCATTCTGGTGCTTTGTTTATGAATATTATAATAGGCAAGTTTTTTTTTTGTTATATATATATATATATAATATATATTTTTAAATAATATAATTATTGTTATTTATTTAGAGAACATGGCTTATTTTCTAACTTAAATCATAATATGGAGCTTGAAGTGCTAGAAAATTTTAATTATCAAATTTATATTCAACAAATTAAGGCTAAAGCTCACTCTTACCTGCTACAAAATTTTTTATTATCATTAGATTTAATTGCACAAACTAATGTTGAAAAAACTGGAACTTTGAAACACTATAATTTTATAGTTTAAGAGGCATTAGACTTTCGTGCAAAGTCTGGTGGATTAATAATCATGTTTTTTTTTTTTTTTTTTGGTGTTAAGGTGAGGCCTTGCCTGTATCTTTATTAAGTAGTTTATACAAGTAGTTACATGGTAACAACTTAATTTGTAGAAAAACAAAGATTATATAAACTATATGCAAGAATGAGAGCTCAGACTAAAAACTTAGCTATTGCTAAATTAGTTATCTGTGACCTAAACCTACTAGAGTGGTCAAGACTCATCTAGATTTTAATAGTTAATATTTGGTTTGTATGAATGCTAAATTGAATCCACACCATGGACTACTGGTCAAATTTTAGCTGGGCTAGTCCTTTCGTGGGCATGTACCATTATCTTCATGTAGTTGGTCAGCTATACCACAAGGACAGTTGTAGCTGAGCCTTCTTCGGTGTTGCTTAGTATGGTTGTGGGCTTGTACACTAGTTGGTGTAGCCCCATTTAGAGCTGGTATGTTATTTTGTTTTTTCCATTTCACAAATCTGTCGCAGTATGGTTTCCAGATTTGTTCGTAGATTTCTGCAGATACAAGAAGTAGTGTTTGTACTATGATGTTAGCTGCCTCATTGTATCATAGGTCTAGTGTCTAAAGAGATTCGAGTAGTTGTGTAGAGATGAGGTCTTTGAGAGTAGCAGGTAGCTGGTGTATGTGTGAAGGGAGAGTAGCTGGGTAGTTGGATTAATTAATCATGTTATAACTGGCTCAGAACAATTTTATGGCTGTTTTATTGGACCTTTTCATGAGATTATCTTATCAACTAAGATAACTGAATTTCTTGTTCAATATTATTCAAATATTTATCTGGATTACATAGTGTAAATCAAAAACCAAATTCAAAACAATCAATCCTAGTTTCTTCAATAGCCTGCTGATCAGTAGCTCTCAAACTTGGAGATGAGATATATTAGTTATTCTTTTCGTGCTCTGATTTAAATTCAAATATATTTACACAGTAGCAGCTAAATGATAGTAAAAAGATTAATTAGCCAGGTGTGATTAAGTTTTTTTTTGAACATTGTATATTTTTACCAAGTTTGACAACACCAACTAGCCATTATCTTGCCATAGACGATGTCAGCAGTATTGGTAGCTAGTGGTAGTACTGTAGTTGTGTTTGTATTGGTGTTGGCATCTTTGTTTATACTATGTGTAGTAATGTTGGATATATCAGAGGGGTTATTTGTTATTGTAAGATGTGGGATAGCATCGTTATTGGTACTCTTATTAGATTTATTATCAGATTTTATTTGTTTAATAGAGTTGTATAGAGTTTAATTAAGTCAGGATTACATCTTGCTTTGGTGAAAGGCTTCATGCTGCTCTCATAAACATTTGTGATTGTAGTAAGCTCACAGCTACAAGTTGATTTGGGGTATTTGGTGCTAATGTTTACTGTATTATTTTTGTATGTGGTAAGGTTGAATAGGATTGATTGAGCAGGATTCTTGTATTTGCTTATCCATTGGGGTGGATAGTTGACCAAGTTTAGAATTTTTTCTGATTTGGTAATATCAGTATAGGAGAGGAAGTCATTAGTGTGTTCTGAAATAGAGAAGCTGACAGTGAAGATAAATTTAGACCAGTCTTTAATAGTTATTTTAGTGAAATTTTTGATGTGTTTAGTAGCTGAAGTTGGTGGCTGAATAATATCAGGGTATCTTTGTATTGCATGGGTTTGCAAAATATAAAAAAATAGCAAAGATGCCAGAAGAGCTTTCAGAGATCATATTTTTAGCAGGGTGCTGGAGCTTGGTATGGGTAGTTGTTTGATGTTTTTGATGTTTTGGTGTAAAAGACTAATAGTACTCTGCTGTAGAGTGCTTGAATGTTGGTAGTCCTTAGAACCACTTTCACAAAAAGATGAAAAAACTTGTTTTTTGTCTTTTGAAGTGTTTATTGTGATTTATTTAGTGGAAAAGTAACTTTCTTAAAAGGTGCACCTTTTTTAAGTGCTTTTCTAGATGCTGTATAACTTTACTTAAGAGCTGGATATCAAATTACTTAGTAAAATTTCAAGATATTTCTGCAGAAAAGTTTTTTCTTGTTTTTCTATTTTGGAAAAGTGATCTATAGAAAGAGTTTTTCCCAAATTATTAAATTTAAATTACTATAAATATTATTAGTTAAATATATTTAATGAAAATTTAATTATTTTAATAATTATAATTGAAATTTAAAGATTTTGGCACTATTTAATTCATCTTGATAATATGGATCAAATAGTATTTAAATCATCAAATTTGGATTAATAGATTAAAAGATATTTGTAAAAAACTAATCTAAATTTAGTAATTTTGATACTATTAAATTCATCTTAATATCTTAATAAAGTAGTTTAAATAATATTAAAAAAAATAGGATAATTAGATTATAAGATAATTACAAAAACTATTTATAATAAATTTTATATTAAAATAGTTTTTGTAATTATTTTATAATCTAATTATTCAAATTTAATAATTTTAATATCATTTAAACTATCTTATTAAGATGAATCAAATGGTATTAAATTATTAAATTTAGATTAGTTTTTCACAAATATTTTATAATTTATTGATTTAAATTTGATAATATCATTTAAACTATCTCATCAAGTTAAATTAAACAGTATCAAAATTTTTAAATTTCAATTACTATTTATTAAAATAATTAAATTTTTATTAAATTTATTTAACTATTAATATTTATAGTAATCCAAATTTAAAAATTTTGATATTATTAGATTCATCTTAATAAGACAATTTAGATGATACTAAATTTATAATTTTATACAAGCTAAGTCTTGTTTTATTTAATTTGCAAAGGTATTTATTTCAAATTAGTATTGCATTTGATTCATTTTTTAAAGAAATATACATAATCAGAATTTTTTATATGTACTATAAAAAAGAGATTATCTTTTGTATTCTAAGATAGTATAAATTTTTGGGATTAATATTGGGGTTCTGCATATCCTAATTAATCAAAACCATGTGAGGTATAATAATAATAATAGCATATGCTAGATTTCATGCATAAAATAGGATCAACAAAATCGAAGCATATTTACTAGTAAAGACTATGTTCAAGAAAATTGATTCATCTCATGCATTAACCATTTTCTTCTGGCAATTTTTGTAAAAAAATAATCAGCATGATATAACAAAATAAGTTACAGGTTTGAAATTTTAATTAATTAAACACTTTAAGACTTTTTCTTGATGGGAACTTCTCTTTTGTTATCACTGCATGTGTTTTAACAAAAAACAAAGGGTATTTGTGATGAATTGGCCTTTGCTCTTAAAAATTTAAATCTGTAACTTTAAAAAAAATAGCTCTCATCATATTATATATTAAGTTTCATTGTGGGTTTTTATGTTAGTTTTAGTACTGAATCTTTTTAAGGCATTGCTTTTGTTGTTTTATACTTTAACTAAAAAAAAAAATATGCATTTGTCAAAAAAGCGTTTTCATCACATTAAATATCAAATTTTATTGTAGAGTTTTGCTTTTTGGAACTTTGCTTTTGTTAAAAAAATGCATATTTGTTTTAGCTTGAGGTTGTAAATAAAATTTAAAAGGACTGAAAGATATACGTTTACTTCGATTTGACTTTTGTAAATAAATTTTATTACGGTAATAAAAAGCGTTGCTTTGAAAAAATACTTTTTACACATATCATAATTTAATACTGAATTTCAATGCCTAAACTGTCAAAATGTAAATTGCAACTAAAGAATGCACGTGAATCAATTGCCAAAAAATGAGAATTGAATCAGTATCAAGAGATTATTAATGAAATAACTGATCATTTAGAAAAAACTCCTATTTATGAACTTCAAACAATACATAATACAATCTTTAATGTTTCAAACACTAATAAACCACGTCCGTCTAAAACATATAATTCAATAATCAATGCACTTGATAAAATATCTGAAACAAATCTCAAATCCACGTCACATATTTTACGTACTATGAGGTATCCTCACAGAAAAAATAAAGACCAAATCGTATCTCCCTATATACAAAATAAAGCTTTTCAATATATATCAAATTCTCTTTACAAACCTGAAAAATCTTTAAATAACCTAACTCAACAAAATAAGCAACTTAAGCAAAGCGTTAAAAAATTACAACAATCTAAAGATCATGTAATCCATAAGGTTCAGCAACTTAGTGGCACAGTCATACAACTTAAAAGTAAACAGCGCTGATATATCTCTCAAATTCGTGCTATGGCTAGACACCCACCAGAATTGAAGGCTAATAATATGAAAACAGTAATTAGAAACTTGATTATACAAAATAACAAAGAATATAATTTTGAATTTATGAAACTTGCAATGCAAGTTTTACAAATTGGACAAACATCATTCGTCACTGCGGCAACAAGCATAAAAACTATATTTAATTTTTTAACTAGAGATGATACCCAATCATGGATTTCTGATACTAGCATTAGCTGTTGGCATCGTGAGATTTCAGAACTGCATCTAAGAAATATATTTTAGCAAGCAAACCAATCAAATTATTTTACATTTGAAATTATGGCGGATGAATCAGGTCGAGGTGAAAAAAAAATACTTATCGAGTGTTTTATGTTTTGGAACTTGGCCAAAAACATGCCTGATACAATACTTCTAAAAACAAAAGATCTTTTATACTATAAT